TGTTGTTGGTTATTTAAGACTTAAGTATTTAGTGTTATTGTCCCAAAAAGAGAACTTATATATATAAAATTAGGGTTTCCTTATTTTAAGCTTGAATGAGCAACTAGTGAAAGCCAGAAGCCCAACGCTTTCTGAGGCAAAGCCTCTCTACCCCGACACCGCTTAACCTGCCTTTTGCTTTACAATCCCTTTGTTTATTGGCCCTTAGAAACTGAGAACCTTAGCATTATTAGATTCAGGAGCATCTGCTTGTTTCTTAGACAAAGAATTTGTGAAGCATCATAAGATTTCTTTAGTACAAAAATCCAAACCTGTTCACGTTGAGGTCATAGATGGGCGACCTTTATTGTCTGGTAGTGTCACCTATGAATTAGAATCTATAGAAGTGACGTTTAAGGGCCATAGTAGTCATATTATGTTCAATATTATTAGAACCCCATCAAATCCTGTTATTCTTGATCTTTCCTGGTTGGAAAAGCATAACCCATCTATAGATTGGAAGTTGCGCAAGATGACCTTTTCTACAAAACTACCCAAGAGCAAGCCTAGTAGAAAACCCCAAATAGAGAAATCCTTATTCATTGGAGCAAGAGCGTTTATAAGATCGTCTAAGGAAGGCACACCGTTTGTCATTTATGCGGCTCTAACTACTGGGGAGAAGATCTCGACAACAAGTATATCTGAGCAATATAAGGATTTTAAAGACGTGTTTCAAAAGAAGAATGCGGACATGCTACTGGAACACAGACCATATGATTGTGCCATAGACTTGCAGGAAGGAGCACAATCGCCTTTTGGCCCAATCTACAATCTATCGCAGACGGAGTTGGCGGAGTTGCAAAAGTACATCGACGAGAATCTAGCCAAGAACTTCATCTGTCATTCAAAATCATTAGCTGGAGCACCCATCTTATTTGTGAAGAAGAAAGATGGCTCATTGCGGATGTGCGTGGACTATCGAGGCCTCAACAACGTAACAAAGAAGAATCGTTACCCATTACCCTTGATTTCTAGTCTCTTAGAACAACTTGGACATGCAAGGATCTTTACAAAAATTGATCTAAGAAGAGCTTACAACCTTGTACGAATCAAGGAAGGAGATGAGTGGAAGACAGCGTTCCGTACAAGGTATGGCCATTTTGAGTATAATGTCATGCCCTTTGGTCTTACCAATGCTCCAACGGTCTTTCAACATATGATGAATGATATTTTCCGAGAGCACCTTGACGATTTTGTTGTCATCTATTTGGATGATATTTTGATATTCTCCAAAAATGAGGAAGAGCATGAAAAGCACGTTCGTTTGGTCTTGGAGAAACTATGCAAGCGAGGACTATATGCCAAGTTGGAGAAGTGTTTATTTCACTAAATAAAGATGGAGTTTTTGGGGTTCGTTGCGACTACGGAAGGCTTGAAGATGGATCCCAAGAAGGTGGAAGCAATCGTGTCCTGGGAGGTTTCGAAGACAGTTAGAGACGTACAATGCTTTCTTGGTTTTGCCAACTTCTATCGGATCTTCATCAAGAATTACTCTCAAGTTGCTGCTCCTCTCATTTGGTTGACATGCAAGGATAAGCTGGAATGGGGACCTCTAGCGGAGAAGGCGTTTCAAGATCTGAAGACCGCATTTACTACGGCTCTAATTTTGGTACATCTAGACTTTACAAAGGCCTTTTATTTAGAAACTGATGCTTCGGATTTTGCTTTGGAAGCTATACTTTTACAAATGGGAGAAGACAAGAAGCTCCATCCGGTTGCATTCTATTCTCGAAAGTTCTCTGCTCCTGAAATCAATTATGAGATCCACGATAAGGAACTTCTTGCTACAGTGGATTCTTTCCAAGAATGGCATCACTTTCTTGAAGGAGCTGTACACCCAATGACCGTATACACAGATCACAAGAATTTGGAATATTTCATGTCGGCTCGAGTTCTAAATCGACGTCAAGCTTGGTGGAATATGTTGCTATCTAGGTTTGATTTTGTTATCACTTATCGACCTGGAAAGCAGTAAGGACTATCTGATGTCTTATCGAGGAGATCGTATCTTATACCAAAGGTTGGAGAAGCAGCATTTTTGATCAACAATGTACGACATTGTTGAAGCCAGAGCAATTTTAGCTTTGCGCTACTATTGTGCCAATTGATGCTGACTTCCTAAATCAGGTACGTGCCATGACCATTGAAGATTTAATAGCCATTGATATTAAGCAGCGTACCAATGACGACAAGTTCAAGGTGGAAGGAGATCTTTTATACTTTGAAGAGCGATTATATATCCCAATAGGACCAGCACGACTCCGAGTTCTTCAATCTCGCCATGATTTTTCAGCTATGGGACATTTTGGATTCAACAAGACCTTGCAGCTTATTTCTTGAGATTTTTGGTGGCCCCAAATGTGGAAGGATGTGAAAGATTTTTTCCTCTCCTGCGACATCTGTTCAAGATCCAAGAATCCTCGACATCGCCCTTATGGACTCCTACAGCCATTGCCGATTCCACGTCGATCATGGTCTTCAATTTCCATGGACTTTATCACGGACTTGCCATCATCGAACTCATTTGACAGCATCTTTGTCGTAGTAGATCGGCTTACAAAGATGGCGCACTATGTCCCTTGCAAGAAGACATCGTCCAGTGAAGTCACAGCAAGGCTCTTTCTCGATAATGTGTATCGATATCATGGAATACCAGATGATATCGTATCAGATCGACGAACCCAGTTTGTATCAAAATTTTGGAGATCTCTCTTTGAGATACTAAAGGTGGATATCAAGCTTTCTTCGGCTTTTCATCCTCAAATTGATCGCCAAACAGAACGGGTGAACTAAGTCTTAGAACAATACTTACAATACAGCATCAACTATCAGCAAGACGATTGGACCACATATCTGTCGCTAGTCAAGTTTGCATATAACAACACCCTCCATGCGTCGACTCAATACACACCATTCTTTTCCAACTACGGGTATCATCCGAAGCTTGATTTATTGAATCCGTCAACAAATAACAATCCAGCAGCTGAAGGATATGCAAAACAACTATCAGAGCTTCAAAATACGTTGAAGCTTCAATTACAATCCGCTCAAGAATCCTACAAGGCGTCTGCAGATAGATTTCGGAATCAAGCACCTACTTTCAAAATTGGAGATAAAGCATGGCTTCTTCGACAGAATATTAAGACCAAGCGACCATGTGATAAATTGGACTATCAAAGATTGGGACCATTTATCATCTAGAAGCAAATCAATCTAGTGGGGATACCGTCTGGAATTACCGGCTTCTATGAAGGTACATCTAGTCTTTCATATTTCTCTATTGGAGCCTTATTGAGAGTCGTCTTTTCCTGGAAGAGTGCAATGTCTACCACCTAGTATTGAGATCGAGAACCACAAGGAATACGAGGTTGAAAAGGTGCTGGATTCACAGCGAAGGTGGGGCAAGTTGGAGTATCTTGTTCATTGGTGCGGCTACGACATTAATGAGTGAACGTGGGAGCCAGCTGAAAATCTCGCCAATTCGTCACAAAAGGTACAAGAGTTTTATCAACAACATCTTCATAAACCTAAGCCGGTTTGACGATAGCTTCCTTTTGAAGCTTGCTCACCCGAGAATATAAGAAAGGGAGAGAGCACCACCAAAATTCGTAGTTGATGTAGTTATTTTTTCCAAGATAAAATAGAATTTTTTCAGTAGCCATAGTTTGGTCTTTTGATATGGATAGCCAAGAGATAGATACTATGCCAGTCAGATTATCTCAATCGACTAGCTCACGAAGGCGACCCCAAGATGAAGAACCGCCTACACCACGACGACGAGGGAGGATACCGAGTAACTGATCACTGGTGATTGTATTTGAGTCCGAGCCTGATTACGATGGTCAGCCAGAAGGCGTGTTTGCAAGACAATTTCACAATGAAGACACAGAAGTTCATACTTGGTCAAAAGTTGAAGGAGTGGGCCACTACCGTTGGCTTCAAGGGTCGATGAACTACTTGCCTCGTGAACAACAGTTGGAGTTCATAACAGACGTTATGCGACAGATCTTCATTTTCTTGTGTTGGTACTGATTAATAACAACATTGCTTCTCAGAGACCTCGAAGCTAAAAGAGGGGGTGATGTTAGGGACATAGTTCTTAGAACCTTCTAGAGACAAGTTTCTAGAACCTTCTAGAAGCAAGTCTTTGAAACCTTCTAGAAGCTTCTTAGTTGGTAGAAGATGTTAGGGACATAGTCCTTAGAACCTTCTAGAGATAAGTTTCTAGAACCTTCTAGAAACAAGTCTCTGGAACCTTCTAGAAGCTTCCTAGTTGATAGAAGTTGCTTTAGAAGCTTCCTAAACATGAGTATATATTGGAATCGAGGCTGAAGAGTTTTTCAGTCTTGACAACACATCCCTTAGAGCTCTAGCTCACCTCTTTGGTGTTGTTCTTGTATTCATCTGATTAATCTAGTTCTTACCAGTTCTTCTTGAACTTCTTGTTAGATCTTGAGTCTGTATTTCTGTGTCCGTGACAGTTTGTAGTCAAATTTGTTAAAAGTCTTTTTCTTTAAGCCATTTATTGATAGACTAATTTGCAGCTCAATCCAGTTGATAGAGCTTTATACAAGCTTGAGACTCTTCTAATCCCTCAAGCTATCAACAAGTAACTTATTGTACTAAAATTTTAATACCTTTAAATCTAACATAAAATATGAAGTAAAATTTAAGATGTGTACTCAATACACACATATATTTTAGTTTACAAAAGATAAACTATAGATCTAGGTCATAATTTAAAGAATAGCTGAAATTATAGACCTTGATTTTATCCTTCTGTTATCCTTTCCCAATTTTATAAAAACGTGAGTATGATGTCTTGACCTGTGGTCCAGAACAGAAGGATAAAAAGGTCGTTCTTCCGTGGTCGACGGATGGAATAATTCATCCAAAACAGATGAACATAGCTACTGATGAATGAACGGGGAGTGGTCGCTGCGTCCAAACTCTTGCCCTCCGGCCAAAGCCCCCGCATCGTCGACCTTTCGCACGCGCGCGGGAACCTAGCAGCAGCCTCCACTGCCGTGGTTTCGTTGCGCTGCGTTGCGCTCGGCCGCGTTCAGACCCATCGCTGGTTCTGGGTTTTGCGACGTTGTTGTTGTTGTTGTTGGAGGAGTAGTCGAGGGAGTGAAGCGGACCAGCGCAGGGATCAGGTGTGTGTTTGTGGCAATGGCGATGGCGCAAGGAGCGCTGCAGTCGTGTTCAGTCGCGTTCGGTGTGAGTGGTGGAAACTTCGCTGGATTGGCTTCATCCGGGGCCAGGATCTCGTCTGTTTCGTTCCGTGGTGGCGCGCCGGTGCTATCGTCGCCTCTGACGACCGTGAGGAGGGAGAACCTGAGGAGGAGGGAGGGGGGGAGAGGGGGCTCCGTGAAGGTGCAGAGGGAGGTCGCGGTGTCGAGCGTGACAATCGAGGCGGCGTTGGGCGTGGAGAAGAAGGGCGTCGCGGATTCGAAGGTGAATGGAGTGCCGTCGGCGAAGCATGGCGCGGTGGGGGAAGCGCAGGTCCCGTCCATGGAGGTGGATGCTGTGACGGAAGCTGAATTGAAGGAGAACGGGTTCCGGAGCACGAGGAGGACGAAGCTGGTGTGCACCATTGGCCCTGCCACATGCGCGCCGGAGCAGCTGGAGGCGTTGGCGATGGGGGGTATGAATGTGGCCCGCCTGAACATGTGCCATGGCACCCGGGATTGGCACAAGCAAGTAATTCGCAATGTGCGCAGTTTGAATTCCGAGAAAGGCTACTCTGTGGCTATCATGATGGATACCGAAGGTAGCGAAATCCACATGGGGGACTTCAATGGCGCCCCGTCCGTCAAGGCCGAGGTGCGTGATTGTAGTAGGATTTTACTCGTCGCGCTCAAAGATTTGAGAAGTCTTCTGCTGAGAAGGTCCTCGCTAATGTTAACTTCAATCAAGATTCATCGCGAAGTTCGTAATGCTTGCAATTTTCTTGTTGACCTCATCAAGTGATGCAAAAGCTTTAATCTAGTTGTGAAACCTGGGAATCTTCAAAGAACTCTTTATGTTGTTTCGAGTCAAGGGTTTCTGCCGCCGCACTCAATGACGAAGTTAACACGGTTGGTGATTAGGGAATTCTGCTCGTGAATGGAATTGTTGCGAAGTTCGTTTCGAAACCTTGTCTGTTCCCTTTTATGCTCTGCGAGAATACAGGGGATCGAGGGATCAAAGCATAAGTTTGAAGATATTCCTCCTTAACCGAAACTTCGAGGTTGGAGGTTTCCTGTTTGTGCGCAGAGTTTTCTTTAGTTTCTTACACTATGGTGTGCGTTTTTATTGTTTCTATGTCTGTCGATCAGGATGGTCAAGAATGGATCTTCACTGTCCGCACACTGGAGAGCCTTCCAGAGCGCACTACTACTGTCAACTACGACGGGTTTGCTGAAGGTATCCTGGCATTGTGTACAATTTGCCCTCTTCTCAATCATTCGAATGAGACAGAGATGGCTGCAACTTGGAACTCTACACGATATTGTTGAGTATAGGATCCTTCGCATGCTTTTGTCTTGCTATCCTGTATGCACCTAATCATTGTTGTGATCATCGATGCTTCTTGGCAGATGTCAGGGTTGGGGATGAATTGCTCGTAGACGGAGGGATGGTGCGATTTGAAGTGATCGAGAAGATCGGTCCTGATGTCAAGTGCAAGTGCACTGATCCTGGACTCCTGCTTCCTCGTGCAAATCTGACTATGTGGAGGGAAGGGCGGCTGGTGCGTGATCTCAATGCAATGCTTCCCACTATTTCATCTAAGGTGAGCTGGATCCTAAACCAAAAATCTTAAACGCTGCAATTTGGATCTTTTCAAACTCCATCATTCCTTGCTCCTGATTCATGCTCCTGATAATTCACGAATGTTTTCCTATTTTGGGTCCTACTGGAGAGATTTAGGTTTCTTGAGCTTGTAAATGAACTTGAAGTAGATTACGCTCTGGCCGTCTCTGAAATGGCGGATTTCTGTAATTTTTGCAGGACTGGATTGACATCGACTTCGGAATTGCAGAAGGGGTTGATTTTATTGCCGTCTCCTTTGTTAAGACATCTGAAGTCATCAAGCATTTGAAGAGCTACATTAATGCAAGAGCACCTAACGAGTATGAGTAATTGACTGCTTTTTGTAGGCAACTAGCTCATTTTTGGTGACTTTCCTTCGCACTCCTTTTGTCCGCATGCTCACTCTTTGATGTTTATGAATCCCTCAACAGTTCAATTGGAGTGTTCGCCAAAATTGAAAGCAGTGACTCTTTGAAGAACGTAGAGGACATTATTCGTGTCTCTGATGGGGCTATGGTGGCTCGAGGTGATTTAGGTGCCCAAATTCCATTAGAACAAGTGCCGTCTGTTCAGCAGGGAATTGTGAATCTATGCCGGGAGCTTAACAAGCCAGTTATTGTAGCGTCACAGCTCTTGGAGTCCATGATCGAATACCCCACACCTACGCGAGCGGAAGTAAGAACACCGTGTTCTGCTTTCTATTCAATATAAGCTTTTCAAATGTTCGTTAGTATTCTAGTTCGCTTGAAATGTTTCATTCTGAATTTTTTGCAAGCACTGTGCTGCAGGTGGCAGATGTATCAGAGGCTGTGAGACAGCGAGCTGACGCTTTGATGCTGTCTGGAGAGTCTGCCATGGGCCTGTTTCCAGAGAAGGCGCTCAGCGTGCTGCGGACTGTAAGTCTTCGTATGGAGGAGTGGTGTCGTGAGAACAAACAGCACGCATCCGATCGACTTCCAGAGCTCTCATCAGCTCTCAATGATCGTATCTCAGAGAGCATCTGCAGCTCTGCTGCTCAGATGGGTAAGCGACGCATCCTCACAAAATTACTCGTATTTTCATGCCTTCCCCGCCGAGGACTCGAGGTCGTTTGTTGAGCTTTGGTGTCACCGAATGCAGCCAACAGACTGGGAGCCGACGCCATCTTCGTGTACACCCGACGCGGTTACATGGCGTCTCTTTTGTCAAGGGCCAGGCCTGATTGTCCCATCTTCGCTTTCACCGACACGAAGTCCATGCGGCAACGGCTGAACCTGCAATGGGGATTGATTCCCTTCCGGCTGGACTTCTCCGGGGATATGGAGAGCAACCTTCGGAGGACGTTTGCGCTTCTGAAAGCGCGTGGCATGATGAAGAAGGGCGACCTCATAGTCGCCGTCTCTGACATCTCCACTTCCGATTTCATGCAATCCATTCAGGTCCGTAGAATCCCTTGAGAGCTCACTCCAGACTTTATCAACAAACTTTCAGAAGACTCATCAGGAATATTACGTCTAAATTTTCTGGATGTGGGTGGATGGACCAGAGAGGTCCTTCCAACTCTAGTATTGGGTTGTGCTGGTTTTGCAATTGGGTCCTTCATAGAAAGGGTTTTTGCATTGATAGGCATGGAAAGGGAGAACAGGTAATTAGTCAGCTGTGATATTCTGCAGGTGAAGTTCTTGATTGGATTTAGTGATGCTTCCCTTGAGATAGAGCTGGAATTAATTGTTAAGATGCGGTAGTAACATTAATAGGCGGGTTTCCTGGCTGGTTGCCATAAGTGCGTGAGACCAGCTTCGTGGTAAGCGGCAAACATCGATTGATTGTTGCATAGACAACACCTGCTTCAAGCTGATCGCTCAAGGCAGGAATATCACTGGATTAGGATTTCTGTTATGTTGTCCTTATCGATTTTAATGTGAAATTCCAGCTTGTTTCGATTTGAGCAGTTCTCATGACATTCTCTACAAGTGCCTTTTGATTGACATTCGATAGGGGAGAAGGGAGTTTCTGTAGTTTATGCTTGTAGCCCATGCTTTCGACGTCTATTCTTATCTTGCGACCACAACGCCGAGGTATGTAGCTATGATGTTTTGCACCCTCTTAGTTCGTCACCTACTGTGAAGTGGTCTTAGTTATCTGTTGACAGAAGGATCTGCCGTTGTAATTGTAACTCAAATTTAAAGTGACCCTATTTTGGAACTAAACGAAACATTGAAATATGAATTTTTTATGTGACACAATCTATATCTGTTTCACTAAATTTAAAAATACATTTCTAACCACACCTATTTATCTATACATTTTAACCACAATAATGTTATTTCTTTCATCTTATTATTTGTCTGTCCCAATAGCATTGGTTAAATTATACTGTTTATTTACTGTTAGATTAGTACATAATGTACCATTTATAGTTTTATGCTTCTGCACGTTGGCACCCTGAATTTTCATTATTCCCAGATGTATTATTTTCCAATTTATCCAAGATGTATGTATTTGTAGCCAATAGTATATGTAAGCCCTTCACAGTAAAAGTTTTTGACATTTTCCATATTTGTTACTAATTATAGTACTTTGTAGTTTTATGTTTGTACATAAATCAGTGGGACAGTAAGAAAGTTATCCGTGATTGCAACGATACAATATATACACAATTTCACAACATCCCATAAGTTTAAAAGTAATGATGACAGTAGTGAATGTGGGTTACGACACAAAAACCATACCTCAGCATAAGCGCACGTGTACACTTCACGGTGGAACAGCCATTTTTATATCTAAGAAGTGAACTTAGATTATGAAACAAAAACTCTCCAATTGGAAAACAAATCATGAGTTTCACCCAAATCCACGAAAACTGCAAAACCTATATCTTCAGCGATTACAAACGATGCCCAATCTGAATTTTTCTTTAGGTACAGAAGAAAGGAATGAAAAACAGGAAAGTGGAGATAAAAGAGGCAGATACCAACAAAATCCCTGCGCTCCATCATCCGGTGATTTCACATGCTACACACTTCGTTTATCCACAAAAGTAGTACCTTCACCTGATATCTTCCCAGCAAAGCTTTGGGTGGACCTAGAAGAAAAAGATTGCTACAACTAACCCGTAAACTGTAGCATCTGGTTAATTATAATTCATCATGGATGGCACCAAATGCTAGCAGATTCTTCCTCAAAATAAAATAAATAAATAAAATAAATAAATAAATAGTACCTAGATTGTCAACCATAGCGACTCTTGATATTTCTGCAGATTTTCGGTAAATGCTAGGCAGACGAAAAAGGCCTGAAACTTTCCTAAATTTTGCCCCATTTGTTTCAAAGAGAGCAGCTGTCTACTATTAGCAAGATTAAGGGCTTGACCGCACTGGATTGCTCTCCTTGAACTGTGAATTGTGCAGTGTGGACGACCTAAATGAGTTTGAAACTATACTAGTAATCGTTAATCATTAATTTGCTATCCTCTGAATGATTGTATTATGCACCGGGTCAGAGAGATGAGTCAAGAGGTTTTCTATGGGGCCTGTTTTTGTAACATAAGCTTGAACCATAAATCCCACCATCGCTACCATGGCAAGTCGGCCTGCACATCAGTGAAGACATGTAGAGTTAATAATTTGCACCCAATCAACTGCGGACTATGCTATCTAATGCTACACAAAATCTTCACATCATGGGACTAGGAGACATGTTAGCAACAGCCATCTGACAACGAAAACTTAAGCTCTGGATCCTCTTTCTGGCAGCAGACAATGCTGACTACTTACCATTCTTAATCTCTTTCCACCGCAAGGGTTGAGGCTTGGTAGGGTCGTTAGCGAAGCCCAAAGGATTGAAAAGTGGACCGCCAGGGTACCTGCAAAGAACAGAACGATGAAACAGTGGCTCCACTTCCACATTATACATGTCCAAGAAAAATTCATAATGAGCAGCCACTTCAAGCACGGTGCAGTAATTAGTTCTGCATAAGCCTCACAAGACTGGATCAATCGAAATTGTAGATTTCAATTGCATCCCCACGCGTTCTCACCCAGTCTCTAAACCTTCAAAGGCAGCCTCGAAACCAAAAAAGGAGTCTTCTGCTGCCTGAGAACCAGGTTTAACGATATCCATCCATCTTTTTGTCTCTACAAACCTGAAGGACAGATAACAAGGGATCAGAAACCTATTCACCGCTAAAGACTCCAGCGCTTGTCCGTAAACGCAGTCAAATATATTCAAAGAACCCACATGGAAAGATTATGTCATAACATAGAGTTGGACAATCAATGGACGATCAAGCTCTTATTGCAATGAGAGAAACCTTAGTTTAAAACTTAAATAAACTGAAATTCATCTGGAGAAAACATCGCACAGGTCTGAGTGTTACCCCATCAGAATAAGTTGCACTACGAAAAGCGTTGTGGTGTCTGCGAAGTCAAATTTAGTGGCGCCCGCCTCAAACCATACTGGAATATCAGTGCGTCCAGAGGCGCGCAGAAGCTGTACAGAAAATGGTTTTGTAAAAATACAGCCAACAATGGGTAGAACCACAATACCATAACGGCGATTTGAGATGCAACATAGGTTACGCAAGAGGGAATCTGCTCACAATCACTCGGCATAAATTTGATGCTAGGCCAACATTATAGACAATTAATTAGCAAACCTTCATTGAAATCCTAACACGTCTCCGAAATCGAGACTAATGCCACTAATTTGACAAAACACGTTTTCCATTTAAATAAACACTAGTAAAACTCACGACTCAAGGATTGAATGTTCAATTTAGGGACATGAAATTCAGGAGGGAGACGTACATCAGTAAAAAGGATGCCGGCAACACCCGCCATGGCAAAGCGAGAGTGTACAAGCTCAGCCTGCACGTACCATCGCAAGTCCTGTGGGTCTTGCCCAAGTCCCAAAGGATCAAATCCAAAGTCACCTGCCAATCTGCGCACCAACACATTCGTTCGTTCAAGGTAAATTTACTTGGTTACCATGCTTGGCCAAAATACTGAGCAATAAGTTTCCATTGCACAGTTGGAATAGTAGGATCCTTAGGTTCTAAGAGAGCTTATTTTCTTGCTGGAGAATGGGACTCATGAAACAAGGTGAACGACTCAAGAGCATTAGAGCTTCCTGAAAGACTGCTTTTAACCTCTCATTTGACATTGAGAGGTTAAAACAGACACAGACAAAGATGCACGATTCGCACGATTAGCATCATGCAAGAATCATATCATGCGACTGAGGTGTGGCTATCACAGTACGATTAAGGTCACGCATTGAGACAACTGAACAACCATACACAACAATGACGCCAGATCCCTCACATCCAACTAATTGCACAATGCGACGTCTAAATGGCATCCTTCCAAGAATTCTTAATAAAAAGATTCTCGGAACACCGCATTGCGCAGAATCAGTAGCAGAGCACGAAAAGCAAAAGTGACTAGATGAGAAAAAACCAAACAATCCGAGCCTCGGGGCTCTAATACATCACCTGAAAGGCTAGAGGGTTCAGGAATCTAAAACTTACGTTCCATCGAGGTGAGCTGGGGGAGTAGTTCCTGGCAACCACAAGGGCCGCTCCGCACCAACCGTAGCGCTAGACTCCCCAGCCGTCCCGGCCTGCGCCACAGCACTACATTTCCCGGCCGGCACCTTCACAATTCGACCAGCTCCAGGCGCGCAGAAACGCAACTCGCCATGTCTCCGAGCCGAACTCGGGCGCGCAATGCTCGACGCGGCCGCAGTTAGAGTGGTAGCAGCAGATGCAACAACAGAGTAGAGCAGCGCCATAGCTGCACAATCTCTCGACAATTCGTTGCTGGTTGTGTGCGGCCCTGGTTCCTCCTCCGGGGACTTAGTGGGAATGGGAAGCTGGAGTTGGAAGGGGACCCCATGATCGCGCCCCGGGTTCGAACCCCGCTGCTGGCCCACCACCAACTCGCCTCTATTGCCGTGGAAAGTGGATAATATAGCTACGGAACTGGGTCCCCGACCTGTTCCAAGTGCTGCAGCCACGACACTGTTGTAATTTTGTTCTCCCAATGAAGGAAGTTAGTTTTTCTGGTGAAAAATGTTTCTCTGTTCGAGATTTGTTCTAAGGTGCTGATGTTGTAACCAATGTGTTTGTTGTGCAGATAGTAGTTGAGTGGCAATATTGATGCAAACAAACCTTGGCTTCCTCATTTATGGCCTTTTTTCTTCAGTAATTAAAAAACTAGAACATAATCAAGTAGAATCTTGCATAAATAGAATTTTGAGGTTACTTTTTAGTTTTTGGTTAGTTTCTAATAGATGCAAAGTGATTTTAAAAATAAATTGAAGTGATAAATATAATATGGCAAGGAACCTAACTAATGGAACTTCGGATCCCAAGCTGTTGAACCTAGGCAAGAATATCTGAAAGATCAAGCATGTTAGCAACTCCAAAAATCCATCCATAAAACTCTTGCTCAAGGTTCGCCTCAAGTAGACAATTTCTTGCAATGCCAATGTCACGAGAGAATACCCAAGTAATCATCGGTTTAGATGTGCTTGAACTGAAGCATCTTTGTTAGGTTTCATGCTAAGAATGTGAATAGAATCCAATTAAAAATTCAACATTAGCAGAGCGTTGTGAAGCGTTAAAACTAACTGTTCTAAGAATAAAGACAAGGGAATGGACAAGAATCCTCAAACAAAAGCGCAGAAGTTCAACTGACACCTTCGGCAATGAAGTGAGCTACTTCTTTTCATGATTTAAAGTCCCATTGACGGTACAAAATCTTAAGCGATCTTTGAAACTCAGTTGAACTGTGTAACTTTACATATGAATCTCAGGTTTGTAAAATGGTTGAAGAACACTAACTTTAAGAAAGTCTCGAGTGTAAACTGGTGGCTATCTTACACAGTTCGGAAGTTGCTCAAACCGACTTTACCAAGTCGGTATCGGTATTGAGGCTGCTCCTCCTCTTCCTCTTCGTCACTGCTGATGTCGTCTCCTAAGTTGGCAAAGCGAGAGTAATCTACGCCAGTATGTCCCTTCGGCTTGGGAATTGCAGCCCAACCCTCCGGCTTCGGAGGACCTGCAAGAACAGGCAACTTACTTTGCATTGGTTGGTGAGTGGGTGAGTCTGGAGGAGTCTCATGGTCTCCTTCTGGAATAGGACTCAAGGCTATATGCGTCCGCAGTCGCTCTCGCAAATTACGGTAAACTTCAGAATTGGGATTAGTTTCGAGCAATCGGTTTACGTCAAACAGGGCGGAGTGATTATCTTTCATTGCCACAAAGGTCTGGGCTCGCAGCATCAGCGCTCCCGCGTGCTTGACATCAAGCTCCAGCACTGCACTGCATTCCTCCGCTGCCAGCTTGTACTGCTGAAGTTTGAGGTGACATGCTGCACGATTGCTATGAAGAGCGACTTGGTGATTCAGTAGAGTCGCTGCATTCAGAGCCTCTGTGTACAATTTAAGTGCCTCGACATACTCTGACGCCCTGTACTTCTGATGTGCTATCTCTGTCTTCGAATTCATAGCATACTCAGTTTCGTTAACCTTGATCGAGGGAGACAGGTCCTTTCCTTCACACTTCTTCAATAGCTTCACCCCGATTGTTGCTCTTCACCACCTAAAATGAAAAATTAGCTTTCTCGTACACAGCCTTCCGCGTTCGCAGTCATTCGTCAAGAAATCCTGAAATTGAAATCCATAGAACTAAGGACAAGATCAACCCTAGGTTCGACAAAAACTCGATGAATCTTGGCTGGGTCTATAATGATCATCCCTCAAATCTAAGCTTGAGCCACATCGACAACTAGTCTTCTCGGAAGAACTACAAAACATAGCACTGACGAAACCCCAAGATTCGCCTTTCTCTACAAGTTCAACAGCATTGCCCGATTCTCCCAACCAACAAAACCCTTCCGCTTCACATCCCCGAAGATCGCTCCAACACTCCTTCAAAACACCGAGTCGAGATCCTCTTGAGTCAAATAAAACTCAAGCGCTGCAAACAGAAAAGCACGCTCTCCTCACCTCCTCTGCTACTACGCACTAAAATACAGACTCACGAACTGAATTCTGTCTTGTTCACTCGCACTCTCTCGCCACACATGCCAAAAAAAGAATTCCTCCAGGCATCGACTCATAATGGTGGAACGTTCGAGAATGCACGCAGTGAATCTGTGTTTGTAACGAAGTGGACAAATTGTCCGACCAATCGGGGAATGTCGCCGAGCTGCTCGCGAGAAGCGGAAACGAGACAGGGTGCGAGAGAGGGCGCAGAGGGCAGCGAGTGGGCCGTCGAAGGTAGGGAGAAGACACCGCGGATAGGACCTACGACTGCTCTCTGCTCAGAGCCCCTCTTTTGGCGAGTGCCCTGCCCATCTACCCGTTGACAGGTCGGTCTCATCTATACGTCTGCGACTTCTGCCCTTCCTGGCCTAAAAAATGTTTGACAGTGTCGAAATTGTTTTGAAAATGAGTAAAATAACTCTAAATTATCTGTGTACGTGTATTTTTATATAGAATGTTTCTAATGAGATTATAATTTTTTCGTACCGTCAACATATCCTCCCACCACATACCATGTTCTCTCTGTACCTTCCAAACCATTTGAATGATTTTAAAAAATTTAGTTACAAAAAAGAATAAGAAAATAAGATATGTCAAGATATATGTTCGGCGCGTGGCAGATTGTGGTAACAGTCACATAAATTGTGGTGGCATTGGCAGTATACGTTATACATGAGATGTATTTGTACAGAATTTTACTGTTTCTTTACTATTATTCTCTAATCATCATCATTATTAAGTTAGTATGTATGCTTAGATTGCAGATCTAGTTTAATTATCCGATCGTAGAGACTGCACCACGCATAAAATTATTTCCACTAAGGCAGAGAAAACAGAATAGTTTTGGGCTGGATCAACAGCGCAATATATATATATATATATAAATGAAAAAAGAAATAACAATTGAGTAGTGCACTTGCTCAATTTCTCATCATGTCGAATCAAATCATGGGTTGACACAACTGAAGCCACATTATAGACAACTATATCTACAGGTCTCAGTCAATGCAATCCAGTTGCTGACGGTGTCATATCCTGTTATAACGATCCTGCTACTCTTGGGGTTGCCCAGAACAAAACAAAACAAGCTTGGCATTCTAACTACCCAGTGGATACCCCACAGGTGGAAAATGATATCAGGCCTTCTCCTCAGCAGCTCAACTGTGTTGAGCATATGCTGGTCGCACAAATTATGTTACTAATAGACGATGAGATGGTAACAAACCAACACTCGTTAAGACACAAAAAATTGCAAAATAAAGGACTGCGCATTAAGTCTAGACTAGACGACATCGTTAACTCATCACTGCTTGCACAAGTTGTGCAATATCTGAAGGCTGATCTTCACCGAAAATCTTGACTCCTTCGATGCAATACTTGTGTAGGAAAAATATAGCTGGGCTCACCTGAAGAAGCCTGGCACAGCTTATGTCGACAAGCTGGCAGTGTAGACGGGCGACATGTCGGGGTGGAACAGACCCCAATTCTTCTCCGTAATCTTGCCAGTCTTAAGATTCTCATTAAAGAGGGAGAAAATGTAGGTTGGAGTTGCAACTCCAGGTCTCAGAGGAGTGCCCTTGGGCGGATCTGCAAGCACAAGCTTCACCAGATTGTTATTGTAGGTTTGAGCGTTTGCTACGCTGGGACCCACCTGAGTAACATCACCAACTGAAGGCCATCCAGACTCCGTCACCACGATTGGTATGCTGGGGTGCCCCAAGGATGCCATGGCAGAGATGATAGCATCGATCTGAGCATCCCAAAGATTTGTGTATATCTTGCCGTTCCCGGGGTCGTTGACAGGCGGTGCGTTAGGGTTCAGCAGGGCGTAGTCAAGGTTGATGGTGTTGTAGTTGAACATGTAGCTGAAAAAAGGGAATATGTTTACCATGAACGGGGAGCCTGTCTGGTTCAGGAAGTCCAGTAGAGGTTTCATTACCGAGGCTGCAAATGAAGGGCGGAAAACGCTTGCAGAGGGTGGAAACGATACGTTCAACACGCTGAACGCGTGCGGAGTTGAGACTTTGATGTCGCCAAGACCGGCTGTTACGAGTGCCGAATGAAGATTCACCATTGCAGGTACGAGGTTATCTGTATCAGCTGTGTCACTGGTAAGGATCTCATTCCCGACAGCAATGGTGGTGATGGTTGTAGCAGGAACAAAAGGTTGTAAGTTATAGATGACCCAGTTCTGAGTGAACGTCATGTCTGTTGCCATATGAATAATGTCTCCATTCGGCACTGTGATGGAGAGGTCCATTCCTGAGTTCGCAAATGCTCGTATAACGTTCGCATCCGTGTTGTAAATTTTCACTTTAGTGACATTGAGAGTTTTGAGGAACTGCACCACTTGCTCGGTTGGCGGAAGGTTGTCTCCACTCGTACCATAGCCAATTCCGATTGTTGCGGCATCTGCAAGAAATCATCAATTTGCTTCAGCATAATCTGGATTACGAGAATGAGCATACGCAGAGCATCCAGACGAGCACAATCATGATATTGATCCAGTAACTTTACCGATGCATAAGCTGTCAATAGCAAAGAGACTGAACAACGGCACAGTACCACCATTACCTGACACGCGCCGTTCTAAACTACAGGTGACATCTACATTATCTAGACCACGGAACGGGCATTTCCAGAGCATCCAGATGGGCACAACCATTACACCAAACCAACTGCACTAGCGATACACAATTATTTTGGGTGAAATGGAGACTGGTCTTCACCTCTGTGCCGCCATTAATTGACACGCGCCGCTCTTAACTACAGGCATTATCGACCATACCTGGAATTAGGAATCAACATTCGCGGAGTATCCAGACGGACAAATTCATTGTATCAATCCAAAAGCATTCCCGATGCACAAGGAGTAGGGTAAGTTGGAGACAGAACAATACAGCACTGTGCCTCCATTAACTGACACGCGCCGCTATAATCTAAAAGTAATCCACTTCAATTCAAAGGCAATTCCTCGCAGCCAAGAAGTGGACGCAGAGGCAAGACATACCCCATAGTTACAAAATCGAGGGGATAAGTGTATCAAAAAAATCAAATCAAAATCAAAATCAAACATGTTTTCGCACCTACGACCAAGGAGTACAGACCTCAGAGACAAGCGAGATTAAGAAGAGGATAAAGATTTCAGGAAAGTCTCTTATCTGCCGTGAGTTTAAAAGATTTTCCGATCGACCTCAACTACAACACACCAAATTTTCAAACATGAGAGGAGCAGAACAACTTACTGGTACCAGCAACCAAGCCGCTAAGTAAAAAGCACAAGGCTCCAATGATGATCAACCGGTAGGCATGGACTCCACACCAACATTTCCGCGACTCGTACTCGTTCATGGATGAGTCCATGGGAATGACTCCCCTAGAGTTCAAGCTCTAGCAACTCTGCACTTCCCTACGAGATAATACCCGCCCTCTTCCAGAAACACGGACTGACTCTTGAAAGACAATGGAGGAGTTGAAGCTATCACGGGAAGGAAGCAAAAACCTCAGAAACTGGAAAACTCTCGCCACACAAACTCAAGAAAGGAGAAATATCAAGCACTGCGTCATGCACAACTAATCAAATCAATAGCAGACTGTCTCTCCCAAGAAGCGTTAATAAACACGACCCAGTTACGCTCACTTCACTTGACCATGGACACTAATGATGCAGTGCATAATCAGAAAAAGCCAAAATTGGGGCCCGCAAACAACCCTACCGAACCGGCTAAATTTAGAACTAGAGTGCGACCAGGTAGTGAAAACTGAGTGGGCCACGGTCAGGAATCGAGGGAGTGATGTACACAAGGGCAGTGGGAGGAGCAGCGTTTATAAGCTTCACAGGGTGCATGAGACAGCCCAGGACGAACTGGGGGAAGAACTGGGCATCATGACTCATGCGAATTGGGGAAAACTGCGAAGGTAATCGACCAGTAGCAAAGAGAGACGTTGGAGCTGACTGTTGGGTCCTTCCTTGGTTGCCAGGATTTAATAAACCCGAGATATTATTTCCTGCAAATCCTGATCTTTGTGCATAAACGCGGCGCCTGCAGGCAGTCCGTATGCTACCAGGCCCTTGTTTGAAACCCCCGAGAGCTTACGATGCCGCCTTTGGGGTTTCCTTCCTTCCTTGCTCTTTCCGTTTCTTCCCAGCCAGCAGCAGCAGCAGCGTTGCGCACGCATTCTACTCCCGCACATCACCGCCAGGTGCGAGTTGCGCGTCGTAGTCCCCAAGAGACATAACGTTAACTCATGCTCGGCATTTGCACACACTTGAAAAGTAACAGCTCAACTGACTGTTGGTTTCCCTGGAACTGGATGTGCGGCAGACCACGTTAACATGTTTTGACTCAATTCCACCCAACAGACACCATCGACAGAGACCAAGCACCTGATCATTATTAAGAATGACACTCTTGTTATCGTAATTGTTATTTAGAACCGAAAGGGGTTTCCCCCCCCCCCCCCCGCTTCCGGTTGACAACATTGAGGTGCAGAGTAGGAATGCTCCATTACGTAGATCAAAGACTTTGAATTCTAGTCCAGGAATGCATCCTTACATGGGGAGCAATAAATTCATTTATTAAATATTTATTTATTCATTATTTATTATTAAACTCTTATATTAAATATAAATAAATTTAAAATATAAGAGTTTAATATTTTATTAAATATTTATATTATTTATTTATTTAAATATATATAAGAGTTTAATATTAAACTTATTTTTATTTTATTTTAATGCATAGGTATTTTAATTTTGTTACAAGACTAATCAAACCACCAATTTTGTAACTATGTTTATTAATTTTATTAATCTCAACAATGTTGTCAAGAAAGTATTTGTAAAAGAAAGGTCTAAGGTTTTGATACTCAATCTCACAATAGACCATCTTTGAAAATGAATGAATGACTTTTATGATGCCTTATCAAGATATCAGATTGAAAAGAACATGGCATATATGGATTTTTCAATATACATTTTTGTTTCAAGAATTTTTACATGAATATATATATGAAAAAAATTATTCATATTTTTACTGTATCTATTTTTTTTTAATAGTATGTTGTACATACTATTATCAAGGATGTTTTACTTAAACAAAGTCTAGAGGACAATATATTTATGTAACATTAAAAATAAAAAATAAAACAAACAAATATAGAAGAAATAGTTATGAGATTGAAAAGAACTAGGATGGCCACAATATGAAAAAACCAAAGAATATTCAATTAAGACTAAAATATAAAAAAGATGTTAACAAGACTAAGAAGTAGTCTTATCATTGCTTCCATATACACTAGTTATAAAGAAGGTTTAGTAGGAGTTATTTAGGTAGTGCAAGGTTTGTAGTCTAAGCATTGTCATATAATGTGAAAACTAACTTGAGAATGCACTAGGCATCTAGGTGTAGAAGAATTTGAACTTATCTTGAAGTTTGATTTACAATCCAAAATGATGCATAAGTTGTTTAGAAATATCCTTTGGCATCCTTAAACAATCCAAATAAGCTTACAGTTATCTTAAATACATCCAATTAAAATTTTAAAAATCCTAGATAAATCTTATTATATTCTAATTAATTTTAAAATAATACTTCAAAACAACCTTTAATAAATTTTAAGTAGATTTTAATAAAACTCTAAATAAGTCCTAATCAAATTGTAATGAAATTTTTAACAAATTCTAATCAAATTTTAAATACTAGTTTTAACCAAATTCAAACCAAATCTTAAATCCTAGTCCAATCCTAAATTCCAAAATATAGTTAAATTCTAAATTCTAAATTCTAACCAAATCTTGATCAAATCCTAATTAAATCCCAAATTTAAATGTTAGTTAAATCTTAAATCTAAATCTTAATTAAATCCTAAATCCTACATCCTAACTCTAATTAAATCTTAATCAAATCCTATAATAGATTAAAATCTTAATAATTAATAATTTAATCATTAATAATGATTTAAAAAATATACAATTTTCAATTACTTAGTTGACATCAAGCATAAATAATTTAAAGAAGATCAAACTAATCAAATAGAAGATGAACCTCATAATCCACTTAACTATCTATTGGCTTCCTTCTCCAACCTTAATGTTGATTTCCAAATACCAATATTTCTTGTTATCACCATCCAATTGCTCTCAAATTTTGCATAGCTATTAAAAACCAAATCTGCTATTAGTATAAATGTGTTATTTTAATCTCACAAATTTTTTTAAAGTATTAAATTTTTATATTTCTCAAAAAAAAACCATCGTCATTCCAAACAATCTTAACTTTGCAAAGCCTTCTAAAAGTCATTACAGACTCAAATCACTCAAAAATCATTACTCAAAAAATCTTGCTCTAACCTACTATCAAATCCCACTTTCCAATCAAACAAAGAATCCTAGAATTATTGTGGATGTGTAATTTTGTGCCTTAAGGTTTGATTTCAATCCTAGTTTACAACTATGCCTCTCTGGGTATTAATTCTTAATTTCTTAAGATAGTTTTTACTACAAACTACTCTTAATTCCATCTTAATAATACTTATATAATACTTTTTTTCTTTTCTACTTTGATTTGCTTCATTTATGGTTGTACAAAATAAGTAAAAGTCTATTTTGTAAAAAAGCAATATTAGCACTTATTAATTTTATTACCTCTGTGACCATTATTATTACTTTTTAAATAATTTTCCACAGCATTTTTAATTACACTCTACTATATGTACAACATGGCATTGTTAAATTGTTGATTTCTTCCAATGTAATTCTTTAAAAGCAAAACATTTATATGATTTCTTTTTAATTATGTGGTATATTAACAAAAATCTAAATATCTAATCTATATCTAAAAATAAATTTGAAGCTTCTTAACAAAGATATCATCTTTCCAACATATTTCTATCTACTCTTATATATATATATATATATATATATATATATATATAAAAGATAAGAATTTATTATATTATTTCTTTTTTTAAGCTTAAATTTCATTAAATGTGGTCAAATTTTTCCATAGTTAATAAAGCAACTTACAACTTGCAGCTTGGACCACAAGCCTTGTAGTCTTTAGGAAGCTTTTCCAAGACTTCTTTGGAGTTAGTATGTATAAAGGCTTTAGAGATATTATATATAAAAAGTGTTTCTAGCTATTCCTATTATATTCTATTTATTTCTATGTACATAATTAATATAAACATCCATTACAGATGGTAGTTGATAGGTTTCTTTAACCATTATCAATATTCCAAACTGAGGCAAATAGACCATCATTTTATTTGATATGTTTTTTGGCCTTTGTAACTACCTTCAAACAACATATTTTACATTCTATTTATTGTAGTATCATCATCCAATAATATCTCTAAGCTTTTTTTAATACCTTCTTGGTTTATGGTATTAAATTTATTATGTCTTTTGATCTATTTAAGAAAAAAAAAAAAAAATCAATTAGAATTTTTTACTTAATGGCTCAAATACGTAGTTGCATCAATATCAAAAAATATATATTATTAATCATACATAATATGTTTTTTTATATAAAAAATAAGAACCTTTTAGTAAAGCATCTAACAAGCTTTTTATATTCTAAGTTTATATATGATATAATTTTTAAATTACAACGAAAAAATACTTTAATAGGCTTGTCAATAATTTAAGTACTAGCATGAAATGCTTAAGATGCTTATGATTGATATAAATTATAATTAGATGAGAATTATCTTCTTGGTAGTAACAATATTCTTAGAATGAATTTATAATAGTAAATAGTTCTTTGTTGTAAATTTTATAATGAATTACAATAATTAGAATTTTTTTAAATAAAAATTAATAAAAACAAAATCTATCTTCTATACCTAATATAATAAAATAATATCTAATACTAAATTTAGTCTATGTAATTTTACAAAAATAAAAATAAAAATCATTTAAAATATTCAAGCAATATAAAATAGAAACGAAAATAAAAATAAAAAAAATTAAATCTTAAAATACAACTTTTGCATCTTTATTTCATTTTAATTTCATCTTTAAAAGCTAATATTGCAAGAAAAGTAAAAACTTTAGAAGAATTTTTAGTAAATATAAAATTATAATCTATAAATTCTAAAGAATATAGAATATCATATAAAAGTCTTAATATTGTCCAATCTATAATAGAATGTAACTTCTCACAATCCATTTGTAAATTTTTCTTTGAAATGATATATCTTAAAAAATTTACTTGAGTTGTGAAAAATACTATGAAGAAAAAGTAGTTAAGTAATATAAATTAATTAAATAATATATAATTATATTAAAAAATATGATAAAAAAATAATAGTAAATAAAAACAAATATAAATGTATACTCAAGAAGAAACTTGAATGACTATTGTCAAAGAGAAGAAGATCATAGATTCTTGAAATTAGATTAAAAAAAAAAAAAAAAACATTGATAAGAGTAAAGAAGGTCTCTTTTTTGCTTCCATATCTAATTAAGAAACTACATGGCAATGTTCTATAGGTCATATGATATGTGTTTAACTTGCAAGACATATATCTAACTTGCAAGGTAAGTTTCCAACATGTGCAATATATCGCCAATTCGTTGGCCAAGTTTTCAACCTATTAATTACCCATAAATACTTCTAAATTTAAACCTCTATCTATAAAGTTTCTATGAAGCTGTTAATAATAATATTCTTAAATTAATCTACTTCAACATATTTCTATCTAATTTTTTTTATCCTCCTAATTATTAATGTCAATATTGGTGTACATGAAAATACACATTTATCCATCTTGGTATATGATCTAACAGTTTGAAGTTTTTATAATATAAAGTAAATATATTGTATATTTTTTTTTATATTTTAAAAATATATAAGAATTTTTTTAAATAAAATAAAATAAAATAATTTAGAAATTTACTAAATATATTACTTATTAAATATTTAAAAATAGAAAGAGGATTATTAAGTCTTCAAGGCATGAAATTATATTTTAAATGAACATATTTAATTTATATTGTAGACTTTTATTAATCCAATTTTTTAA